TGCTGCTGCTGCTGCTGCTGCTGCTGCTGCTGCTGCTGCTGCTGCTGCTGCTGCTGCTGCTGCTGATGGGTGGTGGTGGTGGAGCTGCTGCTGCTGCGGATGGTGATGGGTGGTGGTGGCGCTGCTGCTGCTGCTTATGATGAGGATGGCTGCTGCTGCTGCTGCTGCTGCTGTTGATGGGCGTTTGATGCTGCTGCTGCTGCTGCTGCTGCTGGGCGTTTGATGCTGCTGCTGCTGCTGCTGCTGCGATGGGTGTTTGATGCTGGGGCTGCGGCTTCAATGCTGCAGCCTGCCCTGCTGCTGCTGCTGCACACTTTGCTGCTGCTGCAAGCGCTGCTGCTGTCGCTGCAGCTGCGGATGCCACTCAGCTGCTGCTGCCTCAACCGCTGCTGCTGCTGCTGCTGCTGCTGCTGCTGCTGCAGGAGTGCGAGAGACTGGCCGTGCAAATCCGCGATGGCTATTTGCCTTTGCCTGCGGGGACTTCTTTAAAAGCTGTGACGGAAACAGCAGAAGACCTCGCGCTGCAGATCGCCGAAATCCAGCAGCAGCAGCAGCAGCAGCAGCAGCAGCAGCAGCAGCAGCAGCAGCAGCGCGCGCCAGGCAGCCAGTGCGAAGCCAAAAGCCTCATCCCCACAACTACTTCTTCCTTCGACGCCCCACAGTTTGGGGCTGCATGCAAAGTCACTCGAGTTGCTGTGGGGCCCCCCCAGGGGCCCCCCGGGGGCCCCGGGGGCCCCGGGGGCCCCGGGGGCCCCCGGGGGCCCCCAGACCTGGGAGGGTTTACCCCCAAGAGGCGCAGGATTGACCTCAGGCAGCAGCAGCAGCAGCAGCAGCAGCAGCAGCAGCAGCAGCAGCAGAAGGAGGCCGGCGCGGAAGCAGCTGACAGCAGCAAGGGGACGCAGGAGCGTCCTGCTGCTGCTGCGTCAGTTGCTGCTGCTGCTGCTGCTGCACCAAATGCTGCAGTAGCAGCAGCAGGTGAGGAGGCTGCAAAAGAAGACAGCAGCAGCAGCAGCAGCAGCAGCAGCGGTGACAGCAACACCCGCAGCAGCAGCAACAGCAGCAACGACAGCTCTCAGGCTGAAGCTAAATGTGTGCCGATGCAGCCTCGCTGTCTGTCCCAGGCTTCAACAGTCAGTCCCTAGGGTTTAGGGTTTAGGGTTTAGGGTTTAGGGTTTAGGGTTTCGCAAGCATGGCAGGTGGACGCTTCCACCGCCAGCAAACCCTAAACCCTAAACCCTAAACCCTTGGGCCCTGAACTGAACTTTGCGCCGGCTGTGGCGCTTAAGGGTTTACAAGGGTTTGGGGTTTGGGAAGCTTTTCATTGAGACACGGAGGAGAGCTGCGGCTAGGGTTTAGGGTTTAGGGTTTAGGGTTTAGGGTTTAGGGTTTACGAGCAGCGCATTAGGAAGGAGGGGGCCACTTCCAATCCGCTGGCACGGGTCCATTGTCGAAAATGATTTCTCTGAAAGAACAGCAAGCCCACAAACCCTAAACCCTAAACCCTAAACCCCCAATTAGCGACTAGGCCTTTTGCTGCGTCTAGGGTTTGCTGTTGGGGCCTGGAGACTCTCTCTAGGGTTTACTGCGCCCCAGCAAAACCCTAAACCCCAAGGCCGGGGGCGCGCTGCCCCAGCTCCTACCCAGGGTTTAGGGTTTAGGGTTTAGGGTTTAGGGTTTAGGGTTTACTGCGCTGCAGCAAAACCCTAGTCTCCCCGAAAGCCGCGTCCAGAGCGGAAGCACCCTGCCGCAGCTCCCACCCAGGGTCTAGCGTCTGCAGCTTAGGGTTTAGGGTTTAGGGTTTAGGGTTTAGGGTTTAGGGTTTAGGGTTTGCCTGTGGCAAGTCCACGTGTCCCGTATGGCCTGGGGGGTCCCTATGGAGGCCCCCCGAGGGTCTCCAGCAGGCCCGAAAAAGTGGTTTTGGGGGGCCCCCGTGGTTCGGGCTTTAATGCCTGCATAAGTGGTTCCATTGAGGCTAAACCCTAAAAAGTGGTTTAGGGTTTGCGGCTCCCGTGACACCACCGCCGCCGTCAGGTGGTGCTCTAAACCCTCTATCAAACCCTCCAACAAACCCTCGTCGCCGTCGCCCCACTCAACCACCACCTGCTCACACGCCCCAAGACAAACCCTAAACCCTAAACCCTAAACCCTAAACCCTAGCTCCACAGGCCCCAAACCCCCTGGGGGCAGCAGCCTCGAACCCCCAGCAAACCCCCTCTGTGGGGCCTCTGGGGAGCCCCACAGGGGCCCTTCCACAGGGGCCCTGGGGGCCCCCTCTGCTGCCGCTGTTCGCTGGTGCTGCTTGCTGCTGCTGCTGCTGCTGCTGCTGCTGCTGCTGCTGCTGCTGCTGCTGCTGCTGCTGCTAACCTGTAGTGGCCCGAAAACCTCCTGAAGTGCCACTTGCCGGGCAGCAGCGTCGAAGGCGAGGGTTTGCAGCGGCAGCGAAACGGCAGTGGGGGCGTAGAGCCCGAACTGCGGGGGCACTGAGTGCTGCTGCTGCTGCTGCTGCTGCTGCTGCTGCTGCTGCTGCTGCTGTTGCTGCTGTTGCTGCTGCTGCAGCGGGTAGCCGCCGAACAGCAGGCGGGCGCCCTTCAGCGCCAGCAGCGCCTGCGAAACAATCCGCAAAACCCTAAACCCTAAACCCTAGACACCAAGCCCAAAACACGGAACCCCAAACCCTAAACTCGCGCTGCGCCACCCCAAACCCTAAACCCTAAACCCTAGAAGGCCACAAAGCCTGGCGCTTAATTTTGAAGCCCCCACGACGCCTCAAAGCCCGCTGCGAAGCCCTAAACCCCAAACCCTAAACCCTAAACCCTAAACCCTCGGCAGACCTGCACGTGGCGGTGCATTTGCTGGTTGTTTAGAGACAACAAGGGACAAATTGTGAGGGTTTGGAGAGAGCGGCGAGCAGCAGCAGCAGCAAGAAGCTGCAGCAGCCCCGCAGCAACCCAGTTGCGGTGCACAAGCAGCAGCGACTGCGCCGAGCACTTTTGCCCTGAATCCAAACCCAAACCCTAAACCCTAAACCCTAAACCCTAAACCCTAAGCCCTAAACCCTCAGCCCTGGGCGCTAGGCGCCTGTGCGCGAGCCCGCGACTGCCTGTCGCTGCTGAGACTGCGTGAGCGCTGGGCCAAAACCCCAAACCCCAAACCCTAAACCCTAAACCCTAAACCCTAAATTAGGGTTTGGCGCCGGCGGACCGGAGAGCGCGTAGGCGTCCTCGTCGGCCTGCCAGGCCACGTAGGCGAGGGTTTGCTGCTCGCTAGGGTTTATGTCTTTTCCCAAAACCTTAAAATTAAAACCCCCGTCTTCTATTCGCACGCGGCCCTGCAGCAGCAGCGAGAGTTCCCGCGCCACCGAGCTGCTGCCTGCAGCAGCAACACACGCACCACTCTTGCTGCTGCTGCTGCTGCTGCTGCTGCTGCTGCTGCTGCTGTGCTGCGGTGGCAGCCGTGGGAAAGGAAAGGGGAGCGAAGATGCAGGGGTGCACAGTGCGGAGGCAGCAGCAGCAGCAATACCTGCAAACGCAGCAGGAACAGCAGCAGCAGCAGCAGCAGCAGCAGCTGCATCACAGCAGCAGGATCACCAGCAACCAGAACAGCAGCAACTGCAGCCCTGGGAGCAGCAGCAGCAAGAGCAGCAGCGGAAGCAGCAGTAATAGCAGCAGCAGGAGCAGCAGCAACAAGAATAGCACAAGCAGCAGCAGCAGCAGCAGCAGCAGCAGCAGCAGCAGCAGCAGCAGCAGCAGCAGCAGCAGCAGCAGCTACCTGTGAACTGGAGAAGCCGGATGGGGCTTCGCCGCAAAAGCTCCGACATCACAGGCCCCCTCGCGCTGATTAAGTCCGCGTCTTCCAACGGCATGCCGCAGTAGTGCAAAAACCTTAGCAGCAGCAGCAGCAGCAGCAGCAGCAGCAGCAGCAGCAGGGTCTGTTAGTTAGATGGCTAGTTAGTTAGTTCGCTAGCCAGTTAGCTAGCTAGCTAGTTGATCAGCTGGCCAGCCAGCCAGCCAGCCAGCCAGCTAGCTAGCTAGCTAATATCTATTTAGTTAGTTAGTTAGCTAGCTAGCTATTAAGTTAGCTAGTTAGTTATCTAGCTAGCTGGCTAGCTAGTTAGTAAATTAGTTAGTTAGCTAGCTAGCTAACTAACCAGCTAGCTAGCGAGCTAGCTAGCTGGCTAATTAGTCAGCTAGCTAGCTGGCTAGCTAGCTAGCTAGCTAGCTAGCTGGGCCGTGTGGGCCCACCGGATGAATTGCTCCAAAGGCAGTCCCTGTCTGGACTCGGCCTTCACCACGGGTTTGTTTCCAGCAAACAGAGCGCCCATCAGCTGAACAGCAGCAGCAGCAGCAGCAGTTGCAGCAGCAGCAGCAGTTGCAGCAGCAGCAGCAGTTGCAGCAGCAGCAGCATTTGCAGCAGCAGCAGCGAGCCAAATAATGCAGCGGCAGTGACGAACTGCAGCCAGCAGCAGCAGCAGCAGGTATTACGGCAGCTGCAGCAAAAGCAGCAGGATCAAGTCAGCCAGTGCAACAGCAGCTGCAGATTGCGGCCAGCTGCAGCAGAAGCAAGCCTAACAATGCAGCAGCAGCAAGCTGGACCGAGCAGCAGCAGCAGCAGCAGCAGCAGTAGCAGCAGCAGCAGCAGCAGCAGGTGGGCAGCTGCCTCACCTGCATGACAGGAATCTCCAGCGGGAAATTGAAAGGAGAAATTATGGCCACAGGCCCGTAAGGCCATCTGCAGCAGCAGAGTTAGCAGCAGCAGCAGCAGCAGAGCATCAGCAGCAGCAGCAAGCTGTATTTAGCAGCAACAGCAGCAGCATGACAGGCTCTAGTGCGGCCTGGCGGCACTTTAATAACTCCAACAATAAGCAACATCAGCAACAGCAGCAGCAGCAGCAGTAGCAAAACAGCAGCAGCAGCGGCAACAGCAACAACAATCATCAGCAGCAGCAGCAGCAGCAGCAGCAGCAGCAGCAGCAGCAGCAGCAGCAGCAGCAGCAGCAGCAGCAGCACCTGTAGGACTGTGACTGCTGCCCCTCACGGTCTCCAGCGACGAAGTGTCCCTTCAAGGCGAACCTGACATTGTCTCCGCTGAAGTTTTCAAAGAAGGACCGCAGCACCTTCACCTCCCCCTCAGCCTGCAGCAGCAGCAGCAGCAGCAGCAGCAGCAGCAGCAGCAGCAGCAGCAGCGGCAGCAGCGCAGGAGTAGCGTCCATACTAAGGCCCTAACCGTCACCATCCTCCCCCTCAACAGCTCCCAGCAGCAGCAGCAGCGCGGGCAGCAGCAGGTGCAGCAGCAGGTGCAGCAGCAGCAGGTGGAGCAGCAGCAGCCGCAGCAGCAGCCGCAGCAGCAGCAGGGCAGCAGCAACAGGTGCAGCAGCAGCAGAGGCAGCAGTAGCAGGGGCAGCAGCAGCAGCAGCAGCAGCAGCTGACTTGTTGCTGGGACTTGGGCATTGTGAGCTGGATGCACTTGGTGAAGAAGCTGAAGACTTGCTGCTGCTGCAGTGCAGCAGCAGCAGCAGCACAGACGCGGCCGTACAGCAAATAGCGGCTGGGACTTTTCAAAGGATTGTGGAGGCCATGTTTGGGGCACTTCGCGAGAGACTGCACAAAAGGAGACAATTCCTCCACCTGCAGCAGCAGCAGCAGCAGCAGCAGCAAAAGGTGCAGCAGCAACAGCAACAACAAGAGCAGCAGCAACAAGAGCAGCAGCAGTAACAGCGGCAAGAGCAACAGCAGCAGCAACAGCAGCAGCAGCAGTAGAGTCAGCAGCAGCAGCAGCCGCAGTCCCAGCACAAGCAACAGCAGTAGCACACGCAGCAGCAGCAGCAGAACCAACACAAAAGCAGCAGCAGCAGCAGCAGCAGCAGCAGCAGCAGCAGCAGCAGCAGCAGCAGCACCTGGGTGTCTGGCGCCGTGGCAATGACGTGGCCCTTCAAGGGGCTGACTACTTCGTAAGCAGCAGCAGCAGAAGTCCAGAGGCCCCCCACGAGGTTTTGGATCTTGTGGGGGGGCCCCCCTGCAGCAAGAGAGTCAATGTCGAGGTCCGTGAACTCCGAAACAATGCTGCTGCTGCTGCTGCTGCTGCTGCTGCTGCTGCTGCTGCTGCTGGCGGGGGGGCCGGCGGAGCTGCTGATGCAGCGGAAGCTGCGGGGGAAGGAGAGGGAGGGAGCAGCAGCAGCAGCAGCAGCAGCAGCAGTGTGGGCGAGACTCAAGGGGGAAAGGCGCAGCGAGCCAGCTGCAGCAGCAGCAGCAGCAGCAGCAGCAGCTGTTGCTGCTGCTGACGCTGCTGTTGCTCGTGCTTGAGAGGTGTTTAAAGCAAAAGGAGCAGCAGGAGCTGCAGCAGCAGCAGCAGTTGCTGCTGCTGCTGCTGAAGTGAGGCCGCGCCTCACGGCAGTGCTCCGGTGTGACAGCTGTATGAGCCACATCTCGCCAAACCCTAAACCCTAAACCCTAAACCCTAAACCCTGATCCGTGAACTGTACACCTTAAACCCTAATTCAAAACCCTCAAAAATTCAGTTTCAAATCACAGAAGAAAGCAGCAAACAACTGAGGTTTCGTCGCAGCTGCCTGCTGCCAGCTCGAGTGACCCGGGGGCCTCGGCTCGGGCGGCTAGGGTTTAGGGTTTAGGGTTTAGGGTTTAGGGTTTGGGGACTTTAGCTCTGAAAGTCTTCGGTGTTCTGCCAACCTTTCTGCATTTATTTAAATTTAGGATTTAGGATTTAGGGTTTAGGGTTTGGGGTTTGGGAATTCGGGGGTTTAGGGTTTTGTAAGCTCCCCTCGAGCTGGTAAACTCACTCGACGTGTCTTTGCTGCTGCTGCTCACCAGGCAGCAGCAGCAGAAGCAGCAGCAGCAGACACAGTGAAGCAGCAGCAGCTGCAGCAGCAAATATGCTTCCACCGACTACCTTCTGCGTCTGCTGTGGGGCAGCCTTGCTGCGCTTGCCCCAAAGGCACTCAGCAGCAGCAGCAGCAGCAGCAGCAGCAGCAGCAACAGCAGCAGCAGCTGCTGCTCCTGGACCATTAAATAGACCTGCCACTGCTTCATTTTTGCTGCCCAGAACAGCAGGTGCTGCTGCGGGTCGCCCTCTAGCAGCAGCGACTGCAGCACTACGAGCAGCAGCAGCAGCAGCAGCAGCAGCAGCACCGGGAACAGCAGCAGCAAGGCCTTGGAATTATGCTGCTAGTGGACGGTTTGCTGCAGAGAAAATCCGCGGGCTGCTGGCAACAAGCAGCAACGCGGGCAGCAGCAGCAGCAGCAGCAGCAGCAGCAGCAGCAGCAGGGGTGAACGCAGCAGTAGAAGCAATAGGCACTACAGCAGCAGCAGCAGCAGCAACAACAACAGCAACAGCAGCAGCAACAGCAGCAAAATGATGCCGGCCAGCGGAACAATGCCTTCGCCGTGGCTGCTGCTTGCTGTCGAGATGCTGCCGCCTGCTGCTGCAGCAGTCCTTGCTGCTGCTGCAGGGCTTCAACCCCCGCAGCATTCTGCTGCTGCTGCTGCTGTTTCTGCTGCCAACACTTCTGCTGCTGCCGCTGCTGCTGCTGTTGACGCATCTCTAGCAAAGGGGGCTCACGGCAAGGCCGACGCAGAGTGGCTTGCACTGCTGCAGCAGCAGCAGCAGCAGCAGCAGCAACAGCACAACCAGCAGCAGCAAGAGCAGCAGCAGCTGGAGCAGCAAGAGCCGCGGGGAGTCTACAGTCAAAGCGGCCGAATATATGATGCGGTGGTACAGCGCTACCTGCAGCAGCAGCAGCAGCAGCAGCAGCAGCAGCAGCAAATACCGTGGATGCAGCAGCAGCAGCAACAACAGACTGTAAAGCAGCAGCAGCAGCAACAGAAACAGGAGCCTTCAGGCGCCGCAGCTTCCTCTGGGGATGTTCCATGGGTTCGTGTCTCATGTGCTTTTGCAGCATGCTGCTGCTGCTGCTGCTGCTGCTGCTGCTGCTGCTGCTGCTGCTGCTGCTGCTGCTGCTGCTGCTGCTGCTTGCTGCTGCTGCTGCTGCTGCTGCTGCTGCTGCTGCTGCTGCTGCTGCTGCTGCTGCTGCTGCTGCTGCACATGGTGTTACTGACTGCTGCAGCTGCTGCTGCTGCTGCACAAGGTGTTGCTGACTGCTGCTGCTGCTGCTGCTTCTGCACGTTACTGACTGCTGCTCTTGCTGCTGCTGCTGCGGCGTTGGGCATAACTGACCGTTGCTGCGTCCCTTTGCTTCTGCTGCTGCTGCTGCTGCTGCTGTGTGGCTGCAGCAAGTGGCGTTGCAGCTGCTGCTGCTGTCAGCCTACACTCGAGGCTTTTTTTACCCGCAGCTGCGTCTGCCATTGTTCAGTTTGCTGCTGCTGCTGCTACTGCTGCTGCTGCAGCTGCAGCAGCTGCGGCTTGTTGACAAACTCACTGACCCAAACGAATACAACGCAGCAGCAGCAGCAGCAGCAGCAGAAAGAGCACCGGGCAGCAGCAGCAGCAGCAGCAGCGAGCAAGAGATAACAGCAGCAGGATGCAGCAGCATCACTGCAGCAGCAGCTGCTGCTGCTGCAGCCGAGCGCGCGAACAACCTGCTGCGCTTCCGTTCCAATTTTGCTGCGTCCCCTAGCGACTTGCTGCTGTGGCCGCAGGACAGCAGCAGCAGCAGCAGCAGCAGCAGCAGCAGCAGGTTGCTGCAGCTGCTCAGAGCGCTGCTGATGCCTTCGCTGCTGCCAGCAGATGGCTTGGCTGCTGCTGCTCTCAAGTTTGCCTGCCTTGCTGCTGCATGCGTTTTCGTAGAGCTGCAGCACGGGGCTCTTGCTGCTGCAGCACTTACAGCAGCAGCAGCAGCAGCCAGCACATCAGTGTCGCTGCTTGTGCAGCAGCAGCAGCAGCAGCAGCAAGAACTACTGGGGACGAACGGGCCTCTGATGGCGCTTGCGGTTGCTGCTGCCACTGCAAAAGAAAAACCACCAGCAGCAGCAGCAGCAGCAGCAGCAGCAGCAGCAGCAGCAAGAAGGACCCCTGCGCTGCTGCCGCACGTTCCCCTTGCTGCTGCGCTGCTGCTAGCCCCACCTGCTGCTGAGCTGGCAGCAAAGCTGCAGCGGCTGCTGCACCTTCTAAGCGCAGCAGAAACAGATACGCCTCTGCAGCGGCAACCGCAGCAGCAGCAGCAGCAGCAGCAGCAGCAACAGCAGCGGTTACGGCACTTGCTGCTGGCTGAGGCAGCTGCTGCTGCTGCTGCAGGGGCAAAACAGCAGCACCGAACAGCAGACGCGAAGCAGCTGCATGCGCTTTCACTGCAGCAGCAAGTAGGTCTCAAACCCCGTTGCTGCTGCTGCTGCTGCCGCTTTTGCTGCTGTTCTTGCTAGTGCAGCTCTTGCTGCTGCTGCTGCTGGAGCTGCTGTTCTTGTTGCTGCAGCAGCTGCTGCTGCGCTCGCACTACCGCCACCAGAGGCAACGGCAGCAGTGGCTGCTCCTGCTGCTGCTGCTGCAGCAGCTTTTGCCGTTGCTGCCAGGGCAGTTCACAGTCGAGCTGCTGCTGCTGCTGCTGCTGCTGCTGCTGCTGCTGCAGGAGAGAGCTGACATGTTAGCTGCGGAGGAAAAGGGCCACGGCGAGTGGGGAGCAGTAGGAGACGCCTCTGTGCTGCTGCTGGCAGCAGCAGCAGCAGCAGCACGACTCAGCCCGTTGTCTACAGCAGCAGCAGCAGGTGCAGCAGCAGCAGCAGCAGCAGCAGCGAACTACAGCAGCTAGGCGCAGCCGCGCGCCGCAGCAGCAGCACGCACTAGAAGGCACCTGTATAAATACTAAGTTAAAATAAAATGCTGCAGCAGCTGCAGCAGCGGAAGCTGCAGCAGCTGCAGCAGCGGAAGCTGCAGCAGCTGCAGCAGCGGAAGCTGCAGCAGCTGCAGCAGCGGAAGCTGCAGCAGCTGCAGCAGCTGCTGCTGTCGGCGCTGCAGCAACAGCGGCAGCACAGCAGCACTTGCTCGGACAGCAGCAGCTCACTTCGTTAATAAGGAAACTTGAGCAGCTTCGCTGCAGCACCGCAGCAGCAGCAGGCTGCTGGACTCGCCGCCGCTGCTGCTGCTGCTGCTGCTGCTGCTGCTGCTGCTGCTGCAGCTACTACATGGCTTTGCTGCACTTGAACTGCAGACTCACTAAAAATTGACGCTAAAGCAGAGCAGCAGCAGCAAATCTCTCAAGGCTGCCCCAGCCATCCAGCAGCAGCGGGCCTTCAGCAGCAGCAGCTGGGAGACACAGCAGGCTTTGCTGCAGCTGCCGCTGCTCCGCAGCAGACAGCAAGCCCCCCCAGTCTGCTGCTGCTTCTGCTGCTGCTGCTGCTGCTGCTGCTGAAGCCCTTGAAGCCGCGTCGGCGTGGCTGACGCTGCTGCTGTTGCTGCTGGTGCTGTTGCCCGTGCCGCTGCAGCAGCAGCTGCTGCTGTTGCTGCTGCTGCTGCTGCTGCTGTTGCTGCTGCTGCTGCTGCTGTTGTTGTTGCGTGCTCTTCTGCGGAAAGGGAGGCGGTGGTTCTCAAAGGCGTTGCCAACTGAACGCCCAACCACTACGCAGCACTTGACCTTTCTGCTGCTGCTGCTGCTGCTGCTGCTGCTGCTGCTGCTGCTACTGCTGCTGCTACTGCTGCTGCTGCTGCTGCTGCTGCTGGCTGCAAGCTTTTGGAGCAGCGCCGCATACTGGAGGAGCTCGCGGTCTGTGTTGCTGCTGGTGCTGCCGGTGCAGAAGCAGCCAGGAGTGTTGCAGCAGCCCCTGCTGCTGCTGCTGCTGCAGCTGCTGCAGTGGGCGCTGCCGAACTGTACGTACACCAGAGAGAGCTGTTTGCTGCTGGCGGGCAGCGCAGCAGCAAAGCCAACAGCAGCATCAACTAAGTGCTGCAGCTCGGCCTGCGTGAGCGCGAGCTCGCCGCCGCTGCTGCTGCTGCTGCTGCTGCTGCTGCAGGGCGCAGCCACGGGGGGCCGCAGCCGCAGCAGCTGCAGCAGCGGCGCCTCCAGCACCCAAGACAGCATGGGGTGTACAGACACCGAAAGCACCTGCAGCACGGGCAGCTGCAGCAGCAAACCTTTCCCGTAGCTGCTGGCCCCACAGGCGAGTTCAAGGACTCGCAGCTTCGGCAGCAGACACAGCGCCCGCAGCAGCTGCAGCAGCAGCAGCAGCAGCAGCACACACCGCAGCAGCAACGCACGCAAAAAACTTCAGTGCTTGCGTCACGCTGCACTGTCAGCAGCAGCAGCAGCAGCAGCAGCAGCAGCAGCAGCAGACTGCAGCTGCTAGAAAGGCGCAGTCATTTCGCAGCGGCAGCAGCAGTGACTGCAGCTGCTAGAAAAGC